AAAGAGTGTTTGTTCTCCAAAACAACTATTTCTTAAGATTAAGAACTATTTTATGTTCATATGTTATAATACAACATACTAAAAAAATAGGTGAAATGTTTATGCTGTGTCTTCATTGTTTTAAGTGGCTTAGGAGCCTCTTCAGGCATTTCAGCTTTGGCTCGTGGTAAATCCTCAGCTCTGATCGCTGATTTTACTCTTATTATTCTTGAGTCTCTGAAATGTTGGTAAAGCCTTTTCTGCTGGCATAAGATTTTTCTTTGTGATCATTCAAGATTATAATAATTTCTACAGAATGGATGAGCACGCTCCCTTTACACCTTGCAAATAAATGTAGATAGGAGGAAAGAATAACAGAAAATCATGGAATTGTTTTCGTAGGAAAAGATCTTTAAGATCATCAAGTCCAACTGTTAACCTAGCACTGCCAAGTCTTCCACTAAACCATGTCCCTAAGCACCACATCTACAAGTCTTTTAAATACCTCCGGGGATGGTGACTCCACTACTTCCTCAGACAGCCTGTTCCAATGTTTGACAACCCTTTTGGTGAAGAAAGTTTTCCTACTATCCAATCTAAACCTCCCCTGGTGGAACCTGGGGCTATTTCCTCTTGTTCTATCACTTGTTACTTGGGAAAAGAGACCAAAACCCACCTCGCCACAACCTTCTTTCAGGTAGCTGTAGAGAGCAATAAGGTCTCCCCTCAGCCTCCTTTTCTCCAGGCTAAACAACCCCAGTTCCCTCAGTTGCTCCTCATAAGACTTGTTCTCTGGACCCTTCACCAGCTTTGTTGCCTGTCTTTGGACTGTCCTGGTTTTGCTAGGGCAGTTAAAGTAGAGCAAGAGACTCTTAATCTCAGGGTTGTGGGTTTGACCCCCAAGTTGGGCGCCTTAATTTCTTCCTTGTAGAGAAGGGCCCAAAACTGAACACAGTAGTTGAGGTGCAGTCTCACCAGTGCCAAGTACAGGGGGAGGATCACTTCCCTAGCCCTGCTCGCCACACTGTTTCTGATACAGGCCAGGATGCTGTTGGCCTTCTTGGCCACCTGGACACACTGCTGGCTCATGCTCAAGCTGGCTATCAACCAATACCCCCAGGTCCTTTTCCACCAGGGAGCTTTCCAGCCTGTCTTCCCCAAGCCAATGATTCTGTAGTCCTCCTAAATCTATAAATTTTACGAATTGTCCACCTTCTTTTTCTTTTCCAGGTTCAGGCAACAGTAGTTGGTTTTCTGGCAGCAGTGGCAGCAGTTATATTGGGCTGGATTCCAGAGGGCAAATACCGCTTTGATCATTCAATCCTTCTGTGTTCTAGCAGCGTAGCAACTGCCTTCATAGCTTCTCTTTTGCAAGGTAAAAGGAGTATGGACGTTACTTTTTACAGTTATTTAGTTTTCTGTGGATGCTGAATGTGTGTTATGTTGCTATTTCTTAAAAAATTAAATCCATTAAGGTGTTATACATCTGAAACACAGCTGAGGATAAGATGTCCTTTTGCAATTTCCATATAGGCCTGCGTATTGCGTTCCTCTCCTGTCATATTATTTGTAAAGTTTGATTTGCATGACCTCCTGAGCATATCTAAACCAAAAAGTATGTTTTTTAGATTTTACCTAACATGATGGAGAACTTTTCTCCCCTGCTTACTGAATTAATTAATGTACAAAATATATTCTTAGTACTAAACAGGTACAACTTATTTGTAATTAAGCTTAAGTGATCCTGGATGTTAACTCAGCTGAATCCAAACTTCCTGGTTGCCCATGCTGCTTAGTTAGTTTGTGCTCTGCTTTGTATCTGAAGTGAACAAATTGGCTTTTTTTGTGAAGGGTTTGGGCCAAGTTCAAAGTCCCACTCTACGAACAGTGCCAGTGTCTGTTTGGAGCCATATGGCATGATGAATTTAATCTTCTCTTCCCAATTGCCAGGAAACATTTAACCATAAAAGATGGTACTTAGTGGACATGAGGCGGGGAGAAAAGTACCTCTACGTATGACATATTCTTAATGAAAATACATAGTCAGTAGTCTTAATAATAGTAAGTCAAGTAAAATGTTTAACTTCCTTTTTTTACTAATTTGATATGCTACTTATGTGAAAATTACAAAATTGATAAAATTTTGCATAGAATTAAGAGCACACTTTTTTAGTGACTACAAAGGCATTGAGTTTAATCATGTGCAGAATTAAGAGCAGCAAGAGAAGTGGGGAACACGAGTGCGTTTTTTTAACTTCTCTTGTAATTTGGACGTGAAGAGAAACTTTTGTTGTTATCTAGTGATGGGCCAGCACAGGAAATTATTTTCTAATCTTCATTCTTCTACACATCCTCCTACAACTCCTAATGTAACCTACAATATGTAATATTGCTAAAATACACAAAAATTATACCAATTTTTCAAAAATTATTTAAAATAACTTAAAGGATGGTATACACAGTTGATGCTCTTATGTATATTATGCGAGGGAAATGACTCAAGTTATGCCAAATAAGACTGTTAATAGCAATGTGAATTTTATTTTTGGTAGCCACTTGCATTCTGCAGGGAGATGCCTCTTAAAAAGTCAGTGTTGCTGTTTATAGGGAAATAAATAGAAGCAAACATCATCAATTTAAAATGTTGTAACTGTATAGCAAGTAACATTTGTATATGTTGTTTAGGTTTTAATTTATTATGTAGCTTTTTGGCTTTTGGTGCTAAGTCCAGGACTGGGAATCTTGCAGAATATCAGATGTTGAAGTATTTAATCTTATGTTGTTTTCAGCCTAATGTAATTTAAATTTCAGTCAGCTGAAGTTAGCAGAGTGTAGAAATAATGCACTGCATTTTTTTTTCTTCAGGAAATGGCTGATTTGTAATTTCAATAGTGCTAATTCTAATCATAAGCAAAATAGTTCATTGTACAGATGGTTATTGATTTTTCGTATGTTTACTGTATTTTTTTTAATATATAACCTCAATTTTTAAAATGGCTGAAACTTAAAAATACAGACATTAGTCAGGTGGGAAGAACAATCATGCTGGGACAAAAGCACTGACTTCTTATTTATAAAGTTTGAAAGTGCCATTATCTTGGAATTTTCTGCCGAGTTACAACAGTAGATATGGTTACTGTACTGTCTTCTTTGTTGATTCTAGGAATAATAATGGTTGGAGTTATTGTTGGATCAAAGAAGACTGGTATTAATCCTGACAATGTTGCCACTCCTATAGCAGCAAGTTTTGGAGATCTTATCACTCTTGCTATACTAGCATGGATAAGTCAGGGTCTTTATACTTGCCTTGGTAAGTATGTTTCTAGGTGTATATGCCTCCCTAGGAACCTCTTTTGGGTAAGGAGAGTGGAGAGAAGGCAGGGAGAGAGGTTTAGAAAACTTTTTAGTTTGACTGATGTTTTTGTCAACTGTTTTTTTATATTGTTGAATTATAAATGTTGGGTTACAACATTATGCCATGATCTTTTTTGAGCTGATAGAAATCGCTAACCACAATCTGGGCACAATCTACTAATATCTGAAAGACTCTTCCAGTATCACAGTCAGTCTACACATGAATTAGAAACTAGTTGCTGAATTTACTCTGCTTTCTTGGGAAGGGGGGGAGGGGAAGCAGGGAGGGGGAAGCTGTCTTCATCCAAGTTTTCTTGAATGCCCACCCTAAATCAAATATTTACTTCCCAGAGTCCTTTTGAATTGTTTTCCCCTTGCACTAAGGGGAAGGTGTTGAATTGGCTCTCTAGATCAGCTGCTGGGAGAGGTGTTTGCTTTGAGAATTTTTTTTGTTAGGTTGTGATTTTAGACAACATTCAAATATATCTTGAGCTGCAGCTATGCCCAGGAATCAAAATAACAATAATTTAAGTACTTGGAGTAAAAATAGCAAGTCTACAAATATGTATTCAAAGAAGTGAAGCCTAATTTTAGATAGATTTGTGCTCTGTGATTGCTATGACTTGTAAATGTTTTATGCAAAGACTGTTGTGAAATTCCTTCAAAGTGCTTTCCAGCTGCCATTGCAATATCTCCTTGTTTCCACATCTACTCTACTCCAGCTTCCAGTACCAGTTTCCTCAGCAATTTCTTATCTCTTGTTTCCCTCGTAGTGTGACACTTCCATGTCTCCTTCTTGTTCCCTGTGCCTGTGCTTGACTTCACCATAATTTCCTTCTGCTTTTCAGTAAATGAAGTAATCACTTCCAGCTTCTCCAAATAATGGCCCTACTCTCTTCTGTTTTCTTTGTTATAAATTTGATTACTGTATTTCCGACATAAATCTGCTAATTTAGGTATAACTTTCTTCAGAAAAGCAGTTCTGCCATGAAACATTAAAAAATGTGTAGCTGCTTTGAATAGCTAAGCAGCAAAGGAGAGGCCTTTGCTGACTACAGGGGGCAATGTCTAATCCTGCTTCAGGCATGAATTCTTTCTGGGTTCTTGATGTCAGTTATTTACTGTTTGCTTATTTTCCCACTAATAGGTATGAACAAGTGAATTACACATAAACAGTTCTAAACTAATTTTCTTATAACCTTTTTTTTCAGTCTGCAGTTCTCTTCTACTAGTTATTTGCATGTTACTACAGTCCCTTTGAAACAGTTCTTCTGATTTCTAGGACCTGTACTGTCTAAATCCTGCTCTCTTAAATGAGCAGACTGCTGAAGAAGGTTCATCATCACAATGTCTGCTAAGAATGAATGTGCCTATAGTTATTATTATTAGAAGCATGCTCAGATAGTAGCTGATGTAATTAAATGCTTGATTGTCACAAAGGAGACGTAAGCTTGGAAAATGAGAATGAGGATCTCAAAAATCAGTCTTTTTCTTCCTGTTTCTTCATCTCCCCCATGAAGAAACAAAAAGTGTGAAAACATTTTCTCACAGGAGGAGAAGAATGTTCAGAACAATGTTTAAAATTAAATTATTATCTCTTTCCACAGAAACTATTTAAAGTATATTGTGTTTTAAAAGACATAGCTGTAGACAATTATAATATAGTATACCACAAGCCAAATTTTGTGTTGTCCATAATTTTTTTACCAGACATGTTGATGTTGCACATATATTCTTTACATCTATGCTAATTGTTCAAGGATGTTTATGTAAAAATTTGAGCTGTTCTGTGTAAGTATTATAGCATCAGTCAGAAAAGGTCTCTAATAAGACTCAAGCTGCCTTGCTGTCACTTGCTATTTTGTCTTTTAGTTTTCAATTTATGATTTTATATTTTCGGTATTTGACTTTTCATATTTAGAAAGTGTTGACCTGATGTCAGCTGAAATGTATCAGTGTGCAATACAATAATTTTTAATATTTTCTATATTTGTGTTAAAACTTAACTTGTATTGTTTATTTCATTACTATATTTAAATACTTTATGTTATATTGCAATAACTTATTTCTCAAATACTTCCTTTAGATACTTCTTTTAAGGAGGTTTACAGACTTACAGTAAAAGAAAATTAGTAAATATTTTTTAATCTCTCTTCTTTCTTTTCTACTGATGAGTAAAACAGAGAGGAATCCTCTATTCCCATGAAATTTGGTGTCTCTAGCTAATGCTAGAACTGAGAAAGTGATTAGAGTTTAGCTCATTAGAGACTGTTTATCAAGCTTTATTGCTATACTTGAAAGTCTTACTAGCTTGGGACATTGGATTATTCTGTTTAAAATAGATTTCAGGTCCCAACAATTGATATGTTTGATTGGAATTCAGTTAGAAATTAGGGTTCATGCTAGTTAGTGATGTGCTAGGGAAGTTGGAATGCCAGCTAGATGGAAAGGAGTTAGCTAGGAGAGAGTTAACTAGGATTATTGGCATATACTGGCTATCTGGGTAGTGGAGTTGGAAGAGGTTGCCAAATTTGGATTAACACTGAGATTAGATTTGGGGCTAGGGTTATGTTTAAAATTTATTCTAGTCAGGACTGTGTCTGATTTAAAATAAGTAATGCTAGACTTCAGGCTTTAAATGTTAACTAGTAAGTATTTCAAATGAAGTTTCTTAGAAACTTATACCCTATTGGTTTTTAAAATTTTGCTTTGTAAACTATATTGTAATGAACATGTCACTGATTTTTCATGTTTCCTAAATCTT